GGGAGCAGGAGAATAGGACTCCCGTGAACTAGACCTTTGGGGACAGTTTCAAAAAGGAGCTAGACAGGCAGGATACTGATCAGCAGAGAGGAGGGCGTGCGCAGAGGTTTGCAGTAGGAAGGGTTACAGATCCTTTGGAGCAGAATTCACGTAGGGCAAAAGAATAACGAGAGAGTTGCGAGATCAGAAGGCCTTGAAAACCAGACTAAGGATTTGAACTTGATTTTATAAGGATACTCTTTACACAGAATTCTAGAAATATAAAAGTTGCCAAGAGAATCCAGGTTGAAAAGGTGAGAAATCAAATTGGCGCCAACCAGCCCAGGAACTGATCCTAGGGAACATCTCCCAGGCCACGATTTCCCTGGACCAGTGAGTAGTGGTACTTCATTCACCATCGAGGGCGGTTCCTTCTTAATTTTTAGGTACAGTTACTATTACCTTTTCCCCCAACACTGAATTTTGTTTATTCTATTTTTTTATGTGGTTCTGGGGTTGAAATCCAGGGCCCTGAGCATGTGAGACGAGCACTCTACCACTGAGCTACATCCCAGCTACTGTAACTGACCTTTCATTATGGCTCATATACTATGTGCCAAGTGCTCTGTAAATCTTACCACAAATTTGCCTGAAGACTAAGCAAGAGAGATACTACTATGCCCACATACTAACCAGACAGTTAAAGGCTAGATAACCTGGCCAGGAGGCCACAAATGGTGAGGGGTGGATGGAGCTGGGCTTCAACTATAGGAAGGGGATGCTGTTCACCAGGCCTAGGTGCATTTAGGCAGAAGGAAACAGTGGCCACCTAATACAGGCTCAACCAGTGGCTCATTCTTGAATGTCCCTAGCAGATCAGTGACATGAACATGTTATGTACCAGTGACTCTGAATCCAAAATTTTGAAATCCAGTAATAATAAGGTACCCAAATCCCACCAGTCACAGTAGCAGATGAGCATAGTCAAGGTTCATGTCCTCAAAGGTGACTGCACTTACAGCCAGAAGAGCTGGAAAAGCAAACACTGCTCTCCGGACCACTCTGGTTGAACAGCAAAGGAAGGTCCTGCACATGCTGGTTTGTGCCTGATTAGGGAACAGGTAAAAGAGCAACAACAGGCAGGCCATCTGAGAGGAGCAGAGTTTCCTGGCCAGCCTGGCCAAGGAGCTCATTGCTCCCTGCTAACAACTGCCCTGCCTGCAGCTGCTCCCAGGGCTTTGCTGTCCCCAACACAGCAGGGACAAAAGAAAAAAAAAAAAAAAAAAAAGCACTTGACAATAGAAATTCTTCTGGACCATGCAGAAAAGGCAGGACACTAGAAAGCCTCTGGGAGACAAAGAAAAAGGGACCTACCTAATGTCCTCATATGATTTCACAGTGACCAAAGGGGCTACCTTTCAGGACATGGTGAGACAGGAAGTCTTCAGGCACACTGAGAGGTGATTTAGTGTGGGGGGCAGCTGCCCCAAACAGCAATGTCTCAGTGTTTTTTACTAATAAGAAAAATGTCAATAGATTGAAATATATCTATGCACACACACACACAAACACACACATATACACACACACTAGAAAAGGGAGAAAAGCAGGCTTGGGAACTTTGCTTTGTAGCTTAAAAAAAAGCTCCAGGTGATAACCAAAACCATGGCGTCTTCTCAGGTTAAGTGGAAAAAGAGGTCAGTGCTTCCATTTCACATCTGTGGAGATGCGTTCATTCCCACCCAGACTGAACCAAGCCGTGAGAAAGAGGTGCAGCTGGGATATTTTCCACTGAGAATTTATCCCTTACAGCATTAATACCTGCTTTCTATATTGGTATTTGAGTGCCTACTTGTGTACATTTTACATGATCTATTCAGAAAAATCAAAATGTTCATTTATGTCTCATTAATAATCCTCAAAATATCTTGCACTTAAATAGCCATTATGCCACACCTATGCCTAAAATAGAAAACATGAAAAGTCAAGTTCATTTGGAAATTACTGGCCCCCACTGTACTTGGCCCTGGGGACATGGAAACGGCGTCCAAAACATCAACCAGTTTGCACAGTAGTCTTGCCACTTTTTTAGCTGAGCCTTTTCTTTGCTTTTTTTTTAACTGATTTTGGTTAGCCGTACCTAAACTTAGTTTCTGTCTGAAGTCAGCTTTTGTTTTTAACGACTTACTTAGAATCACAGAAACAACAAGTTTCCCGACCTGTGCACACACAATTAACTCGAGAGAAGCCATAAAAATCTAATGAAGGCCAAGAAGAAACTGAAACCTGACTGGGGAGTTTGGCGCCCTCCCTCTCTCCAATCCTGGAGCACATTTTGAAGTCAGCTGTGTCAGCTGACTGGCACAAGCCTCACAGGCTTCCCTGGCCCCAGGCCGGCCATAAGATGCCTGATCCCATTTAACACAGGCAAGCACAGACAAGAAGGCGGCGTTTGCCTGGCGTACAGGAATTGGTACCGAGAGGCAACTGCCTCATGCAGACGTTTTGGGGTGTGTCAACTTGAGAGTGAGGTTATTACCAGCATGTAATGAGTAAGTCAGGGATGCTACTCAATGCACAGGACAATCTCCCTGACAGTCCAACAAACATCTATCCAGCCTACAAGGTCAATAGTACCCAGTTAGAGAAACCCTGGTCTAACTGTGAGGAGCAGCTGCAATTCACAAGTAGCTCCTATTTTTTCCTTATTATTTGACTATTCATACATAAAACACACAATATCTAATTCTGTATTTTTTTTTTCAGTTGTTAGCATGAGCTTCATACTGTTGTCTGGCAAGCAGCAAGTCATTATCTCTAAATCATAGTAAAAGTTAGCAAAGAACAATAGTATACTACTTAGTGATAAGGAGGCCCTACAAGTTGGCTGTCCTTGGGAATCTATCACTTCCATGCTTAATGTTTCTATTCTAACAGAGCATTACAACATGTTCTTCATTGGACGATTTAACAAAAGGATGCTCTGTTAGAAGACATTAAAAAGAGAAAGAGAGAAGAGGGTCTACATTAGGAGTGTGTCTCCAACTAACATACCACCTGTTTGGCATCTCCGGCCCTGCTGCTTCCCTAAGTTATTATATTTAGGGGTGGAAATTTGAAGTCTGATTGGAAATTACTAGATTGAAAATCTAACCTTAAATAAATGAGAATTTCCCAGAAGCTTGAAAGTCCTTAGTAGCAAAGAAGAAGGCTCTGCATTCTGCAACATGTTCTTCAACCTTGGACAAGTGACTAATCACATTTGGGTTAAGATTTTTCATGTAGAAAATGAAGAGGATGGAGTAGACAATGGGTAAAGGCTAATTTCAGTATTATCTTAATCATTGAAATTAAAACTAGCATCCAAGTCTCCTTACCCAAGGTAAGTGCAAGGAAAAAAGAATTCATAATCCAAAGTCCAATAGGGAACATGAGATCAGAACTTGGAGATCTAGCATGTTATCCTGAAGTTCCTCCCACTTACACTAGAGGGCACAGTTCTTCCCAAGGGGAGGCCACAGACAGCCCCCCCCCGCCCCCCACCCCCTGTCCCCCTCCAGCCCCCTCCCCGGACTGCAGGCTTCAGGATGGTGACCCCAGAAACTGTACACAAATTCTATGTTTCATCAGTTTTTCTGAAGGACCCAGAGCACCAAAACAAACAAACACACCAAGTAAAGACTTTCCCTAGAGGCAGAGCCCCAGTTTTCTTACAGATGAAAGCAATTAAAACAGAAGCCCTAAGGTCATTACAAACTACAACTCGCAAAAGTCCTGGTGCCTTCTCACATGAAAACAAAAGCCCACGGATTTTAGAATATGCTAAGGTCTCACAATTGTGTATTTTGCCTTTCCTTTAAATAAACATATGTATTGATGGATGATTAATTTTCTCCAGTCTACCTTTCACAATGAATGAGGCAGCACTTTGAAAAATTGAATATTTGGTATCATGCAAGAATATTTCACTTGGCTATTAGAAGTAGCTGTCTTAGAACAGCAAGTGAGCATCTAAAGAAGAGGGAAACGTGAAATATTATATCCAATTTAAGGCAGAAAAAAATAAGTTAACTAACACCAAAGGCAAACCCTCACCAATCTGATTTGCTAGAAATTTCAAGATTGTCCTAAGATTCACAAAACATCCCCAGGCGTTCAACGAAATTCACATCAGTCTCCCTCAAGTCAAATAAGTTTACTTTGAGCCACTTCAAACCTCAAACTTAAACAGAATTTATTAAATAAACACAACCAAGAAAGGAAAAAGGAGCCAAGAAACCACAGCAACTCTCGATCCCAGAAGGGAAAAAGTTTCTAGTAACTGGTGTCCAGCCTAAAGAGGGCATCGGTTTTGTCTCTTAAAATAACCAGTTTTCCCTCAACGAATTTGCTTTAAATTCAAAAATTAATAAGGACAGACAGCACACATACAGGATCTTTTGATCCCATGCTCTGGAATTATCCAAACCCGACATAAGCACTTCTTGGTGAGCATGGAACCCGTGCTCCAAAGAGGTCTGGCAGGCAGGGAACACAAGTGACTGATTAAACCCTTGTCGCCCCCTCCCACACTGCCCTGAGCCGGCTCCTCGGGAAGAGTTTGCAGCACCCCTACACAGGAAGCCCGCACGTTTTGCAAAGGAAATGCCAGACCAGACCTTTCTTGGAGAAAGGCACGTCCGTGCTGAGCATTTTATGGGGCTTCCTGCAGCCAGGCAGCTCTTTCCGGGACTCACCTGGTGCGGGTACCGCGGGACACTCGGGGAGCCAGCCACCCACACACAGGGCCACGCACCTTCGCCACCTCCCGGACACACCGAGCGCGGGACAAAACACAACCTGCCCGGGCTTACTCATCGCAGGCTCCCGGCCGGTTAGGGGGGTGGGAGACTTCAGGCGGCTCCCGGAAAGTTTCCCCTCTCCGATCGGGGAAGGCGCCGCGTGCCGCGCCCAGGCAGACCCCGCGCCCTCGGCCCCTCGCCCCCGGGCAGCCGGGTCGAACCGCGGCCGGGCGCACTCACCTCGGGGAAGAAGTTGTCCATTGTTCCGGCGCGCTCCCCGGCTGGCCGAGCGCGGCTCGCGGAAGTCAGCGCGGCGGCAGGTCCGGGAAGCCGTCGTGTCACGGTGCGGCTCCCAGCGACTCCAGCCCGCGGGGCGCCCCAGCAGCCATCGCCCGATGCCCTTCTCCTCTTTCTCACCTTTTGTTTGCCCAAACCCAAGTCTCTACCTCATCCGTCCCAACTACAGCCTTTGTCTCTTCTTGCTCCAAGTTCCTCACTTCTGGGCTAAGCGCTCCCGAGCGCAGAACAGCTGGTGGCACATTCCTCCCCCGGGTAGGGGGAGGGCGGCGGGGGTCTGGTGAGCGCGCCCCCTCCCTCTGCGCTCCGCTGCGGGCGCTCGGGGCGGGCAGCGGGACAGCCGGCCACAAAGCGCGCCCGAATGGCTCTGCCCGCACGAGCCGCCGCGGTGAGCAGTCCGGCGCCGCGGCTCAGCCGGCTCTCGCCCGCGGGAGCCTCAGCGACAGCGCGCGTCCCGCCCACCACAGCGCCCCGCCTTCGGCCCCGCCCCGCAGGGAGCTGAGCCCCGCCCCTCCC